ACTTTAACAAGACATTAAGTGGTAGGTGCTGGAGAAATGGTGAGGCCAGAGTAACAACTAGTGCATAAATGGAACGAGGAAGCGATTTATTGCCATTGACGTTCCACCTAACAATTAATATTGAAAGAAGTCACAAAAATTGCTTTCTTTTAGGAGTAATGTGGTTGAAAATGACGTGAAATACAGTTTTAGTGTTTAATAATGTTGTTTTCATACCTCATTACAAGCTCCTTAAATTTCATTAAATTTTTTTCTTTTTTAAATATTATATGTGGGGTGTTGGCCAGAACCGAATTTACACTGTATTCCTCACAAGTTTGAAATCTTTATTAAAAAGAATAGGAACTAAATCGTATTTTTTTACTTAGCTTTGAATAAAAAAATTACTCTATCAATTTACCTGTCAGGCCTAATATTTGAACTCACGGTAGTATATGGTGATGTCCAAGTAACTGTTCTCCAGTCCTTTTTAGAGAACTGAGAAACTAGAAGAAGCTCGGGAAAAGATGACAATTTTATCCGGGTTTCAGGTAGGCTTGGAAATGGTTTTTTCTGTTACACATAGAAACAGTCATTTTTAGCTATTGACAATATTCAGCACTCGCTTTTCTTTTGGTTTGTTATTTCCGACTTCATTGGTTGCTGATGATAAGCCGCGTACAGTCACTTCCGATTGTTATCTTTGTTAACTTGTGTAGTTTGGTTGTTCGATTTGCTGTTTGCGCGTCGCTGATTGCTTCTCATGCGATGAAAGATAGCCTGTTCTATTTCGGCATTTCGTTAAGCAGCCCCACTTTGTACCCAGAGAAACCTCGACATATCCTGATCTCGCTCGTAAAGTTCAACCTGCAAAAAATGCTTTTTTAGTGGCCGCTGTTATGCCATATTTGTACGTCTAAAAACGTAATAAAATGCCGCATAATTTTGGGAATATGACGGGTCTGCGAAATAGACTCTTGTTTAAACTTGATGTATCCTTAACTGATTTCACTGAACCGTTGTAAACGATCCCCACTTTAGTTATTTCTTTATTTGGTGTTATCATCAGATGGTGTGGCAAATACGACACGCTGTTTTATTACTTGTTTTCCTTTACTTCGTCAGTAATTCCTTTAGACAACTGATCGTTTAAGAACCTATTATATTTACGCGAAAAATCCCCCTTACTCAAACGATTAAGTACCGACTTCAGACGAGAATAACAAAGGAAATAATTATTCTACAAAACAAATAACATTCTTATATGGCCAACTAACAATGAAACGCTTTTTTGAAAACTAAAGTTTTGTAAAAATGTTCAAGAGCCACATCGCTGTCATTTATATTAAGCGATTCTTTTATTCCTCTCGCTTCCAAGGCGGAAAAACGTGTGATACTGTTCGGTAACGTACAACAGGCGATTACCTTATTTGTAGCGTTATCTTCACTTGATTCGTTTGTTTGCATACCAGTAACTACTTTACCCATCTTTGTAGGAACTACACAGAAAGAAAGCATCTCATTTTTTCCGTAAGTTTAGATCTGCCAGTTCCCAACAAAAATCTGCACCGATGAAAAAAACGTATTCTAAACATAGGTTAATGGTCTTGCATTAACAATAGCTGCAAATTCATAATTAAATTTTAAAACTTTCTTTTCTGCTTTCTTCTGGGACGCTAATTTTACAATTCCTATGAGGGTACCAGCTTTATTTTTTTGACACTAACAGTAGTATGACAACGGGAATTGAAATAAAAAGTACAGAACCAAAAGTGGAACAAACTTCCAAATGAAGAAAACGACACTGAAGAAAACTGGATAATAAATAACAAATAACCAATAAGGGGTAACAACTAAAAGGAATAAAATTTTGAGGAAATGATACTCAAAATTAGCTAGACAAAACTAAAGGTTCAAGAGTTGCTAAATTGGACATTCAAAGACTTTAACTGTTTTAGGTAAACACTCAAGATTGTTTCCTAAAACTTTCATTGATTTCTTTCAATAATTGCACTACTTTTATAAAAGTTGTAATGCCACCTTAAAATTGGTCTGTTTGCTTTGGTTAATTGACTCAGTTACTTTCATACCTTTGGATGTTTAAAATTTCATTTATTCCTCTCAAATCTGACCTTCTGTCTGAACCCTGCGGAATCATTGTGAGTGTTTAACGAGGTGTGGATTTGGCGGACGGTTGCGACACTGTTCCACTATGAGCTTGTTCCATAATTATTAGCTGCTTTAAACTGTGCGGCAGTGTCGGAATATATCATCTTGGTTGGTCCTTTAATGCAGTAAGACGTTTGAAAAAACTCGTTGTGGTCATATCATGAGCCATTTCAAGGTGTATATTTCTGGTTAATAAACAAGTGAAAAAGCAAATCCATCGTTTTATTCTTATATTTTGATTGTCTTCTGACTTAACTGAAACCAGGACAGAATAGTCAAATTCAGTTATCTTGTAGGGTCTGCCACGGTTGTCTTTAAAGGATGGTAATGGAGACATTTTAGACAATGCATATGGCTTTCGTTGCCGTTGCAATAGGAAGAGACGTAGCATGTACGGTTTGCAAAAGCGATACGATTTTAAAGATTCTTCCAACAAGTCGAAATTAAAAAGCCTTCTATAAAGTTTTGTAATTGAGCATTTTTAATCTCCCACATTATAGAAGGAAATCTTATAAGTGAAACAAAGTACTTCAAGATATTCCGAGTAAATTCTTGAGGTATCAGAGATACCTGCTTTATTGCAAAGATACAGTTGCATTTGAGCATTTACCATCTATACTTTTTGAATAGCCAGAATTACTGTCAACTTTTATTGCTGAGATGTTGTCTTAAAACTTCAAATGTTACGTGGCCACATGATTACTCTACTTTTTTCGACTAGAACACTTAAAGCGCTTGGACGGTTAAAGCTTGTACAGAATTGTACAATCATTGATATTCCAGCTCGAGGTATTAACAAACTGCAATTCTTTGAGAATTATTTTTGCACCAATTATAAAATGGGTGTTGAATCTTTATGTTAAGTGACTTGCATTGTTTTAGCTACCAGGTAAAAGCATCGTTTCTGTCATATTCAGTTGCAGGTAATGACGGAAACAGGAGTTATATTTTGGTAGTTGCGCTACAGGTTACTGGTACTGGCGATTTTATCTTATTTAAATTTTATTTGGTCTCATTCTTGCATGAAACCTTTTGAAAGATTTATTAGTTTCTTCTTGTTTTTACTGTTTCATTTTAGTGTTTAAGTATATCTGGTTTTTTTGAAATAATTTACAACATTTAGATATTGCGTAGGAGTCTGAAATAAATGGTGATTTTTGCAGGACTCTTCTAATAGAAGAGATTTGAGGGAAGAGTGAAACAATTGAAGGGATAAAGGTGTTTTTTAGCAGATCTTGTAGTAATCAAGTATAGAAGCCTGAATGACGAAAAAGTTTGTGGGTCTTGTTTACTGCGTTGAGGATTGCTTCATTTTAGTTTAATTTTTAATTGCTGCAAACCATTTGGCCACCAAAATCTTAGCGGTCATTTTGGATTTGAAAAAGAGGTCCTGGAACCCTTTATTTTATTTCATCCTTACAGTAAAATGATCACACTGGTGCAAACTTACGTTTTAAGCATTTGTAGAGTTCTAATTATCATCAAGCGAGGAAACAAAATGACCAAGTTATTGTCTTTTTTATGTGCAACACTTCCGGTATAGTACAAAAACTGAAGTTTTATTAAGTTTTTGAGAACTGATTATAAGTAAATTCGATAACAAAAAA